TCTGCTGTATCTTCATCGCGGTAAACTCATTAATTCGACTTCTTTGTGTCGCACTGTCTAGTTGTTGTATACTTTCCAGCCTGCTGAGTAAGTGAGTGAGCAAATGGTGTGCTATTGGATTTGACATGCCCTGCAATGAAGGTCACAAGCACTTAGCCTGAAATTGACATGAAAATTTCCAAGGTGTCACCGTGGAGTTTTTGTTTTCAGCATTTGTCCGACATACATACAAACTTCTGTAACATGGAGCATTTGAACTGTCTGGAGCAACTATGATGAATATGTCAGCCGAGCTGTAAAGTATGCTATTCATGCTTCATGTCCATGCACAGCTCTCAGACAGGTGTGGGAACAAGGACCTTACAGGTCCAGTAAGATAGTTACTGCTTATTTATTGTAGTCGTAAATATACATTGATTTAGTGTGTGGTTATGTCTTCCCAACAAATTGATGCACAGTCATAAACTTTGTGTAACCTCTGATGTGTGTGTGCATAAACATGCCGATATTGTTGTGATTACTTATTGTCAGGAGATTAGACATGTCAACGAAAACACCAGACATTATGATACATTTGCACCGATGTTTTTTCTAAATTCTGTATGCGAAAAGTGAGCGCGAGAGCCCTCGGTGCACCTGCTCAGTGCTGAAGTCAAAGTAAACCTTATTGTCATCTCCGCTACATACAGTCCAGTATATAGAGAGACGAGACGAGGCTCCAGTTACAGCAGTGCAAGTAAACAAACAATAAATATAAGAAGAGTAAGAGGGAGTGTTCGCCCAGGGCGCCAAACCTGCTACTGACTGTACCTTTAATATGTCTTCAGAAGATGAAGAAGCAGAGAGGAAAGAGTTGGCAGACTAAAATGGGAGAAGAAGCGGTTCTGGTTGGAGCACATTAAAGCAACACCTGACATAAATCAACTTACCTGAGTGTGTGAGAGACAAACCGAACAAGACCAAACCAAAACCATGTCTCCATCCGGACATAAAATCATTTTTTTTCAGATGTAAATAGATGACAGTTTTGCTGGCTGCTGTAACAACAGTTCAGTCTGGTGTATATCCATTTCTTAGAGTTTATCCATTACCTAAACAACTGCTGGCAAGCAAAAAGGCTCTGATGAAAAAGGAAATGATGTGCTGCCTGATATCACCCTTTAGTTAGAAGCTTCAAGCTGAGCCTTGTCACTGTTGCCATGTTGGTATTAGCAATGATTAAATAACCTGCTGTAATATAGAGCTTACTGATAACTGAGAGACACTACAAGCTCATACAGTACCAAGCTAGCCTCACCTTTCATCATATCCTGCTTGATTGTGTGTTTACATGGAACCATGATTTACAAAATTAACATAATGTTGGATTTGGATTTTCTAGCCAAAGTGCTTATGTAATATAAAAACATTTCAAAGATACGTAGTGAAATAAAAAATGTTAAAGGTTTCGTCACTCATGGACTTTTTTCTTCCTTTTTTGGACTCATCAGCACGAGTGGTGTGGGAATGTTTTTGAACTGTCTACTGATTCAGTAAAAGGACTCGATGTTACAATCCCTAATAATGCATTGCTTTAAATGGAGAAAATCTTGAGGGATGGCTGTTATGAGGAAAGGCATCCCAGAAACTTTACCAGTGGCACACATCGTTGTGTGCCTCAACTTTCAGTCTTTCACCCAAGCTAATCTGCTAAGCTAAGACTTTCTATTTGTGTGTTTTCTGGTATATTTGTTCATTCATGAGGTGTAAGATCTGTCAAAGACAAAAATAGTGCATGCTGATGGGAATACTCAAGCGTTTACTATGTTTTGCACAACTTTTATTGGTTTCCACCTTTACATACATATCAAATGTTTCTGTGTGTTTGACCTCACCCTTTGTCCAGTAAATGAAGTGTTTGGTTTTAGTCACATTACCGACAACTTTCTGAAACACGTCCGTCATTCCCACGTTCATTTTTAGCTGCGTTCATCTCAGCTAATTTGGTTTGACAGGAGACTTTTGAAGATCTGAGTTTGTTTTTGAATAATAATCTATTGCTCACATTTGGATAATATTCTGTGTTTGATGCGTCAAATCGCAGTTCAGCTGCCACTTCAGGCTCATAGTTGTGTAAGTCTGTGTGCATGCTTGTGTGTGCTGTCTGGATGATGCCCAGCCTTGCTTCATGCCAGGGGATAAAAAGCTGCAGCCTCCATGGGAGATTTTGACTGAGTGATGGACAGAACATTGGGAGCTGTTTAAAAACTGTTGATCCCATTAAAGAGCAAAATTAGAGAAATGACACGTAGTCGTAAAATACTTGAATTGGATATTTTACTCTGAGGTAAATCTATATTCAAAGTGATATGAATAAAACTTTGCATAAGTGTTAAAATTTAAAGTGTTTAATTTGTGCTGATTCAGTAAAAGCAACAAATTAATTGTTAATGGTAGTTTTTCTGTGTTGTTGATGCAAGAACTTTACTCGTGTAACTGCAGTAACGAGGCTGTGGAGTTTACATGAGTCAGTGATACTACTGAAATCAGATCAGACACAGACACAGTGCAGAACATGTTTGATTACAGGTGCTATTATGACTTAAAATATAGAAGATGGTTATTCATTTGTCATGTGCCGTTTGGCTCGATCACAATTTCCTCCTCAGGATTTATGTGCTGTTGATTCATGTGCCTCTCCTCTGTTTAAACACACACAAATATTAAGAGAGGGAGTGCTGGCTGGTTGGTTTAAGCAGCTTATCTTGACCTTCTGTTCATCTGTCTATCATAACCCTCGCTCTCCTCTGTGTATGAGCTTATAACACTTTCATCCATCTCTAACGAACGTGAAGAAAAATGCAAACACATTGTGTAAAATAAATGTTGCAGATGGTTTGGAATAATATCAGTTTTTGGCAGTGTTGTAAAATGACTGTCTTCTGAACTCTGCACATAGAGTTTATGCTACCGTCCTATTTTATGTTAGGGTGGATTTTTGCTGGACTGGCTCCAGGCCCATTGCAACGCTGCACTGGATAAACAGTTAGGAAAATAGATGGATGGACTTATGTTTCCTTAATATAATAAATCATTCTCTTTTGCACACTTCTCTTGGTGTTTTTGCAGTAAAACTAATTTTAAGTGAGAAGTTTGCAGAATTATTTCAGAAACATAAGTCATTCATACGATCTGCTAATGGTCATTATGGTCATTGTTCTTTTAGTTTTGGTTATTTTTGTAAAGCGCTATACAAATACAGGCCATTTACCATTTTTGTGAGTGCATAACCATGGCCTCAAATCATGAAATTTTGCACACATATCAGGTCTGGTGATATTCATGCATTTCATGGGTTTTGCACAAGGGGGTTGTAAAATATGCCTGAGAAACATACTTTGAATTGAAATTTGGTACACATGTACACACATGTAACATCCCACAATGTACAGAAACATCTCTGGGACCTCTGATTATTCACCACAAAATTTGCTGTGATTCAGACATACATTGTCCAATCTGGTCCTGGTATAAACGCTGTATGACAATATTTAATGAAATGACAGTTTTTACACTTTAATCCACTGATCCGAGCAGTTTGATCAAAGCCACCAACAACTTACCGCCTTATCTGATTTGCCACAAACTCTCTATGTGCGACAGTTGTAGCAATCCTTTGATGTACTCCTCACAGGTTGATCACGTCCACCTTAAAAGTAATCTAAATAAAGTTCAGATCTTGATATGTTATGTGAAGGCTGTGTGCAGGCAGGAGTGGTAGTAGGAGGACCCAATTAATTGGGTTAATAGTTAGTTAATATTTTCTCTGAATGCGGGACGATTATGTTTTTACGGGACGGTTGGCAACTCTACTAACTAACCTTATGAATTAAATAAAGTTCACTATCAGTAAGGTCAAAGCACCTGCCCAGCTGTATAGAAACTCCGTCATGCTAGCTAGTACGCAGTACGAGTTATTGTAACTGACTGTAAAAAGTCAGCACAACGAAAATAAATTGGACCTAAACTTGGTTCATATCTGACCCAGATAGACTGCAGGTCATAACTTCTTACCTGAAGTTCAGTTCACCTGACGCTCGGACCGGCGGCCGCCTCGGGTCTCTGCTCCTCCTGCCTCCCCTTTCCCTCATCCACCTGCTGGCCTCTGTGGAATCGCCGCCATAGCCACCACCAAACAACTGAGTTATTTTTACACATCGGCCAGCATCTGGACAAACCTTCGATTGTTTAGACCTGTAAAAACGAAAAATCACCATCGGCCCGATGGCCAGTCCAGCTATACTGACAATGCAAAACTGCGAAAAGTAAGGAGACAAACTAATTGACCTTTAGTCATAGTCGTGGTGCCACCTAGTGACAACAGGAAGTTATGTTTGCTGACAATATAAAGATTTACTGCATAACATTTTCATTGAGGGTTTCAGACATGATATGAAGCAATATGACAAATAATAACTGGAAATTCTACAGAGCCACCTAATGAGAACACAAAGTGATAAATAACTCATTTATTCCACAGTCAATTAAATTTCATTAAAGTGACTGCATGAGATGCCTCTACTGCAACACGATCCGCTGGCATTTCTCCTCAACCACAGCGTGCCTGAGCGTGACGTATACCAAGGTGCCAGAGTCCTCATTGCTCCTTGTAGTTTTACTTACAAGTGTCTTATCTTAAGCAGCAGCAGATCTGGATTGTGTATATGCAGGAGCTTGCTTGCATGTGCACAGTGGACATGAGGGGATTGTCTGCCATTAAAGCATTATTCTGTCAGCTGGATGTAAAAAGAAAATGCAAATAAATTCCAAAATGTACCTTGGTAGCTGTAATATATTTGTTGCCACGTGTGTAAGAAAATGTGTTAAAGACAGTGTATAACAGTTTTCATCTTTGTTGATATGGACACCTGATTTCCTTCACACTCTGAGACTGTTTTAAGGTTGACATAGCCTAAATATTTAATCTACAATTTGTATTCTTTTTATTGCTTCCACTGCAGGTTGACGGCCGACATCCAACCTGTAACTTCCTGCTGGAGGTGGAGAGAGACCAGGCCGAGTGCATAAAGAAGCTGAGGGAGAAGCAGGCCAACAGCAGCTATAAAGGTCACAATCACTCAAAGCACAACTGTTAGAAACCAGATATCTTCTAACAGTAACTTGGAAAAACTTTGTGTAGCTGGACAGAATCTTGAAATCTGGCTTGTTTCAAGCATTAACGTGGCCGTTGTGGCTCCACGGCTCATGCTAACGTTGCCTTTTCCCCGACAACAGGTGTTTGAGGAAATACCAAAATTAGCTCCCTCGATCATCCATTATGCTGACTGCATTAGGGATCAACATCTGGTGCAACTGATCTAATTATCCTGCGTATTCATTCATGCACACCGGTTTGCTAACACCTGTGGCTGTGGAAAGCTTTCACTCTGCAGAGCGAGTCTCTAAATACTAAAGGAAAGAAAATGAGATAATTCATGGGAAGCAGCACAAATTGTGTAGATGTTAATTAACAGTGTTTTCTGTTTTATAAGCCATGACATCCTGATAGGTTATGAACCTTCAGTGAAAGGCTGATAAACCCAAAGGTGAACTATGAGTGTCATGCTGCTGTAATAAAATCAGCTTATATAAGCTTAAAAGCTTATATAAATAAGCTTTATAAAGATTATGATCTATTTTAAGATGGTCAACATGAATGTAAGGTTTATCATAACTCACTTTGCATTAGTTTTGCACATTGCTATACTGCCCAGCCTTTAAGACTGTTATTAATTAAAAGGCAGGAGTTATACTGGATCATGTCTCCAGTGGGAAGAGGAAATGTCAGCAGACGGGATGAGAATGTGACAAGCATTTCATCTCGTTTTATAGACTTTTCTTTAACATTACAAGTAAAATGTTATTTTTACAGGCTGTCCTCTGTATGTGAGTGATATCAAACAGCATCATAGCCGATGGAGTTAAGTTTCTGATGTGCTCTTTGTAATTTAGACTTGGGACAAAGTTTCAGCATAGCAGACCCTCATCAAGAACGTTCACTGTCACATCAAAGAGCCTTGTCTAAGTAAAGTCTTGGTGCACTGCATTTTCCTCCCTAAGTCTGTATAAATTTCTCCTTTCCTTTCTTTATGAAGGTTTTCAAACTGAAGGAAACGTTATTAGGAAAAAGTGATGGGGGGAATCTTTTGGACTATCTGACCTCTGGCACGATTTCCAAGATTGTTTTCTGGGACAATTATTTTTGCCGCGTTTGCCCTGTTGAATGGTGAGGACACAGAAACTGAAGTCACATCTGCTGGTGCAAACTGTGCTTTCATGTAGTGGCAGCTCTTATTTCTTTGATTCAGGTTTTGACTGGTATAGGAAACATCTTCTTCTATACAAGTGCTAATACTGAGGTTTTGCCTGTTGGTGACACTTCTTGCTGCAGCGAGTATTCACAGCTTAATGATTGGTATAAATGTTAAAGAGCTGTGGCAACGTCACTGTTTGGAATTTATTTGTATTTTATATTTTTGACTTTTTGCCTAGGATTGATTAAATAGCTTTAGTTGTTATAAATTCCTTCATTCTTATCATGAAACTAAAATTATTGCTAACCAGCTAATTTCCTGTCCTTCCTTTCCTTATTTGTAAGCTAACCGGGTTCCACTTGCAAAAGTTATTCATATCATTGATATCATTCAGCTACTTATACAGTGTGTCTCTTGTTTTGTAGTTGAACAACTCCAGCTCCAATGCAGCGTTTAGTACAGCAGTTCTCCTGGCGGTCCTTAGAAGGAAATCCCTCAGGCATTTAGCTATCGGGTTATCAGTAATTTAGTGTTTGCTTTGAGTCAAACTTTCAAATGAACTTTTATAATTATTCATTTTCTTTTTATAAAGTTGAAGTTTTGCTTTTTGTTCCACTGAAATAGGCTCAGATAAAGAGAAAACATTTGCAAAAGTAAACCCTGCAGTCTGAAGGCTGATATGCAAAAGCATGAAGGACCCTGCATACAGTGTGTACATGTAATCACACCATGTGAGAACATGATTAGATCTCATAACGCAGTTTAAGCACATATTTTGTCTTCTGTCCAGCCATGTTTTCTACACAACACGAAAAGCTTTCGTAAAGGTCACTTAGCTTTCACCGAGTGCACTGAAAATCTGTGCAATCTCTGCAGCTGGGAATGGATTCACACGAAATCATTCCTGAATTAAATCACGACAGATGTGTGATTGTTTCTGCCAAATTCAGGAAAAAAACTGATCACAAATTTAGCCTGTTATCCTGAAGTATAGACTGCTGCTCAAACTTTTGGGTTACTTTGTGATCTAAAATAAAAATGACAAATAATCATTTATTTTTGTAAGGGCTGATTTTCTTCCAGTGGCACATTGTGCTACCTAAAATTTAACTTAAATAAATTAAGTTAGTTAAGTGTCTGCAGCCTCAGTGCCTGCGGGTTCAATTATAGTGTTGAAATGGCCAACTATCCATCTAAACTTGAATCAAACAAAACAAAAAAGAAAACAGAGACTTACCCCTCACAGGTCCTGATTGTAATGATTATTAATCTCACTGTTGAATAAAGTTTTGTTTAAGGGCAGTTTCCCATATGAAATATCTTTAATTTTTGTTTTGAGGAAAATTTTAACACAGTAATTGAATCCACAGAGGCTGATGCATGCAATGACCAGATTTAGCCCAGAGGATGATAACCATGGACGTCTGCTGCTCAGGGAGCTGCTGTGGTGGTTCAATAAAAGAGAAACGCTTCTTTATTCTTGATCCTTAGAGTTAAACACAGTAGTAAATCTTTTACTATAATAATATATTAAGAAGTGCCACCATTAGCCTGTGGGCCACGCTTTGACACCCTGAAATTAGACTTAGATAGATAAACGTGCAAAGAGTAGAACATAGAGAAGGTTTAAACGCTTGGGGAAAAACATCTGAAGCAACAGACAGTTCACGAGAGAGGTGAAGACGAGAGTGGAGCAGGGCGGAGACGAGTGTCAGGGGTGATTTGTGACAGCAACGAGGCATTTTCTTCAAAAACATTTTCTCCAAAAACACCCAAGCACTCTTCTGAAACCCAGACTTGCTATTAATTCATTATCATTTGATTACATGAGTTTGTGTGTAAGTTTTTCTGCCAAGGATCCTGCAGGACGCTGTTGTTTATCATTTACAACACAAGCTTGACTTTTATTGATGTGACAAAATAATCTTACCTCAAGGTTTGGTCGGGTCTCTTGTCTGAAGATCGTAAGATATTGCTTCGGGTGGTCTTTAATAATAGTGCTGTCAAGAGGAGCAGGTTTGAAAAATGTTTGAACCGACTGAGAACAAGCCTCTGTTTTGGATATGTACACAACACTGACTGGTAGCTAAGAATTAAACTGCAAAACTTTTGTAATACCCCTTGATTTAAAGCTGAAAGTCTTCAGTTCTTTCACGCATTGATTTCCTTTGAAGTCCTCTGTGGTTGTGTACAAAGACTTCTGCCTTGATGACCTCACTTTGGACATGGCCAGGCTAACAGTTCTGTTCTCTTTTCATCAGTGCTGCATATAAAAGCAGCTCAGCAGTTTTCCCAAATGTTGACTTATGCTTTCAAAATAGCTGATTAGTCTCACCCAGACTTTATCTTCCTACGTGCCCATCTGCAAAAGAGGCTAATTACCACAGAAAATACACCGAATGTGGTCCTCTGATGAAGTTCACAGCTCAGAAAGTACAAAACAGAAAGGAGTCGGGAGAAAATTGAAGAGAAAAGCCTTTAAAGAGCTTTTGATTATATGTTTTTGTTGAACTAAACTAAGTGTAAAGTAAGCGTTTTTAATGATCCATAAAGAAAAATCCACCACTTTTACATAAAAATAATGAGAAATACTGGACTGAGAGTTGGTGATATAAAAATCTCTAACCTCTTCGCCCCTGAGCCACATGAAACATAGTGAGGGATAGTGAAAAAGTCGAATCATCCGTCATCCGGCCACCGCAGTCAAAAATGTAAACAGATGGAGACAGTTTATGTGTTTGAACCTCAGCTGGGACATACTCAATACAACATTGTAAATCTGGTGATGTATTTTAATGTTCTGAGTGAGTAGTTTCTATGCAAATTGTGTCAGATGTTATAATAATATACAGTACCATTAACGTCAGAACATTTGTAGCACACGTGTTTCAAATTTTGAAGTATATCAATATTAGTCCGACTCCTCCTTTAGTCTGCTTAGAGAGAGGAGGTCCATAAGCTGACCAAAAATTAAAATAAATAAATAAACAAATAAAAGAACTCAGCTGCAGGATAGTCCCCCTCCCCATCTTGATGAATTGAGACTGCGTGGACCACAGATTTGAATTCCTGGAAATCTGCAGAACAGACAGTCTCTCCTGGTCTGCAGGCGCAGCAACTCTTACACTTTCTCAGAATCCTGAAGTAAAGCTCTGGTGACCTTTAACCGCTCCACAGTAGGAAGTGTCTTAACATACTGCCTCACATTGTGGTGTGCTGTGGTATGCTGGATGCTCAGTGGTGACTAAAAAAAGGTCTACAGAAGGTCATCGATATGGACTAAAAAAATAATTGGCTGTCCTCTTGCCTCTCTCCGAGACACTGGAAACAAAATTCTACTTCTCTAGATCCCAGAGTATTGTTCAGTCTGCTCTCACCTCCCCTGCCACATGTTTGAGTTACATGTCACTCCTCTCTATAATATTTTACTATATTTTATGCAATATGTCACTTCACATGCCAATACCATGATTCGTGCAATAGCCGTGGGCAGGGATACATGTGGTATAGCTACCTCTTTTATATTGTGTACAATTTATTTAAATGCAATTTATATAATATCATATTGCAACAGTGTAACTCTAATGCATGGAGCAGGGGTGGCACTCTCATCCAGTCTCATTACATCCTGTATATAATGATGTTTTTTAAACAATAATAAACATCAACTCTGCATGTGTCATTTAAAATGGCAGGATCATTTTATTACATTTAAAAATGGTTTGATTCTGTAGCAACAGGTGAACATTTTTGTGAAGAACCTAAGCTAGGTTTATGCTGCTATTTTTAAAAAAAAAAAAAAAAAAAAAAAAA